AGGGACTACGAAGCGCGCGACCTTTATTGGTACTTTGGCAGGCAGTAGCGCGAAGGCTCGCACGGTACAAGTGTCTGTAAATGATACAGTTGTTACCGCTAAAGTCGATACCGGAGCTGAAGTTTCGGTGATTCCGACGTCATTCCCAGGATTACCAAGGCAGCTAGAGAGTTGCGATGTAATCTTAAAAGGCCCAGGCAACGATAAGTTGAAGGTAAAAGGACAATTTGTTGCCAACATTTCGTGGAAGCGCAGTTCCACTCGACAAACTGTCTTTGTCGTAGAATCTGTGAAGTCCGTCATCCTGGGTTTACCAGCCATTGAAGCCTTAAGAATAGTTAAGTTTGTCGACAAAGTATCGGTGGAAAAAGGCTTTCCTTCGCTGTTTCAAGGTCTTGGGACCATGGAAGGCGAATACTGCATTCGTCTTAAACCAGACAGTGTGCCTTACGCCATCCACACCGCTCGTCGTGTTCCCATCCCGTTGCGAGAGGCCGTAAAAAAAGAACTTGACAAAATGGAAATGAATGGGGTCATTAGAAAAGTTGAAGGCCCAACCGAGTGGTGTGCGGGTATAGTGCCGGTCTTAAAGCCGTCGGGTGAGGTACGCATTTGCGTTGACTTAACTCAACTAAACAAAAACGTAAAACGAGAACGTTTTGTACTTCCCACGGTTGACGAGACTATTGCCTTGCTCAGTGGAGCAGCAGTATTTTCGAAACTGGACGCTAACTCGGGATTCCATCAAGTCAGATTAGCAAAGGAATGCCAGCAGTTAACTACGTTCATAACGCCGTATGGTCGTTACTGCTTCGAACGATTGCCGTTTGGTATAACATCGGCTCCTGAGTATTTCCAAAAGCGCATGAACGAAATTCTTGATGGAATGCCGGGTGTAGTAAACATGATGGACGATGTGCTAGTATTTGGGTCGAATCAGCAAGAGCATGACGAGCGTTTACATCGCACTCTTGAGCGTCTTCACAAAGCCGGCATAACCCTGAACAAAGAAAAATGCCAATTCAGCGTGAAAGAACTGTCTTTTCTTGGTTTCTTGGTCAACAAGGACGGCATACGGCCAGATCCCGCATAGGTCCGCGCGATTGCTGATATGAAGGCGCCGACAAGCGTAGCGGAGGTGCGCAGACTCTTGGGTCTCGCTAATCACTGTTCGCGGTTTATTCCCAATCTGGCTGATAAGACAGCGCCGCTGCGTCAGTTGCTACAAAAGAATACAGACTGGATTTGGACGGACGCTCAGGAGAAGGCGATGGAGTGCCTGAAAAAGGCCATTTGTTCAGATAGTTGCATGGCCAAGTATGACCCGAGGTATCCGACGATCCTATCGGCAGATGCCTCGTCATACGGATTAGGTGCCGTTCTGCTACAGCTGCAGCCCAACAACGAGCAAAGGCCCGTCGTTTTCGTTTCTAGGGCTCTAACACCTACTGAAATGCGCTATGCGCAAATTGAAAAAGAAACCTTGGCTTTGACTTGGGCCGCAGAACGTCTGGAAAGTTATTTGAGGGGGTTGCATTTCACAGTGGAAACTGACCATAAACCATTAGTCACATTACTGGGAAAGTCTCCACTGGATTTGCTCCCACCGCGCATTCAGAGGTTTCGTATGCGCTTGATGCGTTTTAGCTTTGATGTGGAATATGTGCCCGGCAAGAATCTCGTGATTGCTGATGCATTATCGCGGGCGCCTTTACGAGAACAGCGAAGGGCAAAATGCCTATCGGTAGAAGAAGTCAGCAGTTTTGTTGCAGGCTCGTTGTCAGAATTGGGCGAGTCTGATAGCTTCAGATCTGTTGCCGAAGAGCAGGCATGCGATGAGGTTTGCCAACGACTAATTCGCTACACTCGTGAAGGCTGGCCCAGCCTAGCTTCGTTGCCTGCAGAGTTAAAGCCTTACTGGCAAGAACGTGGAACGCTGAGTGTTTGTAAAGGCGTCCTCCTCAAAGGAAGCCGCCTCGTGGTTCCACAGTCATTACGAAGCATGGTCTTGAAACAGCTTCATGAAGGGCATCAAGGAATTGTCCGGTGCAGGGCGAGAGCGCTTGAGTCCGTATGGTGGCCAGGCTTAAGCTCACAACTTGCTTCGATTGTCACGAACTGCCGTGTTTGTGCTGAGTACCGTGATCAGCCAGCGGAGCCTATGATTCCAACTAGGACTCCGTCAAGGCCATGGGAACGGGTGGCCGCGGACATTTTTCATATGAAAGGAAGCAACTACCTTTTGGTGGTAGATCATTTTTCACGTTTTCCAGAGCTGTGTCGCTTAGAATCCTTCACTAGTCCCCATGTTGTCGAACAACTTAAAAGTGTTTTTTCGAGGCATGGTATTCCGGAAGTGCTGGTGTAGGATAATGGCAAACAATTTGTAAGCCAGGAGTTTGACCAGTTCTCGAGAGAATACCGGTTTAGACGCGTCACATCTAGCCCGAGGTTTCCGCAGGCAAACGGTGAAGTTGAGAGGATGGTAAAAACGATTAAAGGACTACTATTGAAGTCAAACGATCCCTTTTTGGCTTTATTAGCCTACAGGGACACCCCGGGACAACTAGGCAGCACGCCAGCCGAGCTGCTCATGAGTCGGCGACTCCGGACCACGCTCCCTCTCCACCCAAAGAAACTGGCGCCTAGTACGCAAAACCTGAAGGAGGTCCGTCGAAAAGACACTCTCCTTAGGGACGCCCAACGTCGCTTCTACAATAGGCGCCACGCGGCCCGTCACCTGCCGCAGTTGGAGCCCGGTGAGGGAGTCTGGGTGAAAGACCGCAGAGAGAAGGGCGTAATCCTTAAGCTGGCCAGTAGGCCGCGGTCGTATGTGGTGGAGTTGGATAAGGGGGGCAGAATCGAGCGGAATCGGAGAGCCCTGGTCCAACTTAAGCAGGACAGGGAAAGTGTTGAAAACAGTGACGACTGCTACGAGTTTCCGGAAGGGGAAACTGACGGCGGCGTGAGTGCAGAATGCCTGAGTCGTCCCGGTTCGATTAGCCAAAACAGTCCGCTTCAAGGACTCAAGCCTAATGTTTCGTTGCCAGCGGTTCCTCCGGAGTATGTGACGCGATCTGGTCGGACAGTACGCAAGCCTGAGCGGTACGGAGTTTCGGAATGCCGCGTATTTGATTTATGTTTGTTCTGAAGGCTGAGTAGCCTGTTTGTTCTTTATGCCGTGTATTTGATTGTATGTTTTGAGCGTACCTTTATTTTGGCTCTCGCTTGTTGAGGTGGTATAGCTGATTCATGGTCATCTTATTGTTCATAGCGTTTATTTGTTTGTAAAAAAAAATAAAAAAAAATATATATATATATATATATTTGTGCTTCAGCTTCGAAAAGGGGGATGTAGTGTTATCGCTCCTGCGGTAGAACCTAAGACGCGCGTGACTATCAGTTATCGCGCTCTACTGTCTGCTTCGAGATGACTCGTCGTAGGAGTGCTGCGCACTGTTGTTGTCATGTGACCTGATATGTGTCTATATATGTGGGTGTGGCAATAAACGGGGCACTTCTTGGTCTGGGCCCCAAGTTGGAAGTCTTGCCTTCATCCCGGAGCAAACGCGACAGGACCCAACACCTCGGAATCCCCTGTTCTAAAATTCTCGCCTAAGACCGTGTCTATCCGAGCCGAAGCACCGGATGGATAATCGTTCACTGTAGGACAAGGTCATGTTTTTGGATACTTATATAAATGAAATTACAGTGTTCACGGAATCTACGTAATCCACGGACGCTTCGTATAGGAACATTTCTAAAATTTAATTTGGCCATCTTCGATCATTATCACCATCTGGATGGTATCTGTGCCACTCCGATGGTGACATCCGAAGTGAAACAAAGCCAAGCTGTATTCGAATATGCTTGAGAGCAGCGTTTGCTCGTTTGTTCCCACAGTGGGGTCAGGCTCCGAAAACCCTCGCCCCGAAGGTCATTCCGGCAGTTCGCACGTCGGATCGGACAGTTTCGTCGTACATGTGTTCCGCGCTTAAGGCAGCAGTGACATCGCGCGTGCGCAATCCATACCGGAGAGCCGATCGTATCGTATCGTCTGTGTAAAAACGGCTCCGTAAAACTCTCTATTGGTTAACAGTACCGGAGTGCAAAAACGTTTTACTGAAAACTACTCAAACTACGAAGGTAGTTTAAGTAGTTTTGAAGGTAGTTTAAGTTTAACTACTTAAACTACAGCCAGGGTTGCGTGTTTAGGGTAGATACCAACAAACTCCGAAAAGTAACCACGAAGCAGGTTTTATAGGAATAGGGGAATCCCGCGCCCGTGTCCTGTTCTCTTCAACACAAGCCCTAATAAACACATATTTTTGTCCGTCACCAAGTACTCACACATAAAAAAAAAAAAAAGAAACACAAACCTGTTAGAAAAAAAAAAAAAAACATTACTTAGAAGAAAAATAAACCACAAGAAAACGGAACAAGCATTCTTAAAGCGGGAGTCACACCATACGTCATACAGAAGACACGGTGCACCACTCTAAAAAAACAGATCTGGTCGTAAAATAACTCTTAAGGGATCTTCGGCTTGCTGTCATTTTGTACCCTAAAAAGTTCCCCTTTTAAGTACTCTCTAAAATAGTTCTTCGTGAAAAACCTATAAATAATTAATTTAAACTCCTTTTTTTTTTTATGCGAGGGAGTTATTCATCGCCTAGTTGTCTCTATAGTGCGCCAGGGGGCGATAGTGCTTGAAGCGAAACCGTTCTTCACGAGCTGGAAGAGTTCTTGGGGCGTCAAAAACCCTTTCAAGAACGAGTTTGTTTTAGAGTGTGTTCACTGTAGACATAATGAACAGAGTGGTCTGCGGACACTGAAGCATGCTTGCTTCATACGCGCGTATGTTTCGAACATATGGGCAGTCAGTATGACCAACGTGACGTCATACAAGGAAGAAACAGGCCTCTGACAGCGTCTGCACACTGTCTTTTGTACGATGTATTAGCAGCGGGAGTGGGGCTCTACTATAATGAAATGCTCACATGGAGAAGCTCTTTGGGTGTCCGAAGTAGTTGCCTCCCTGGGGCAGGGCAAACGAGAGGTTCCGGCGGTCGCCGAAGCGCATGAGCACGTTCTGCACGGTCGAGCTGGCGCACTTGTGAGTCTTCAGCAGGAACACGTTGAGCGCGGGCCGACAGCAGCCCCGGCAGTCGCCGCCCGAAGAACCCGTCCGGTTCGACAGGAATCTGCGCAGAGGGACAACAGAAGGGAAGAAACCACAGAGAAACCAATACGTGACGGTGGAATTCGCTCTCGGAGAAGGCGAAGAGGAAGGAAGATTGGAGCGCACCGAAAGTGCGCGCAACCAACTGCTCAAATCGACATTTTTGGGAAGGTGGGGGAGAGGGCAAAGAAGTCATCGAGAACGCGTCGTGGCAATTTCGCGGCTCAAGAAATTTCGGATGGGCGTATATAGACGTCCTCTACGCGGGCGCCGCCAGCTTGAATCGTGGAAGTTCAGGTATGCGGAAAAATATAGTTTTGCTCTCGCCAAACCACTGGAAGAAGCTCACGTTTTAATCGCAACGTCTTAATCGGCGTGTCTATGCCATTTCTTTATACTTTCACTTGTTCCAGGTGGTAATGCTTTGATTATTTTTTCTCCCGCCTACCGGATTTGTGAACTTCGTGGCTGGGAACGAGGTAAACGAAAAAGGTATCTAAAGTGAGGCGCTTACTGGCCGTGCACGCTGTTAGTTGCACCGTTTGAGGAGTCAGTAAACTTTCCCTAGCATTTCGTTCTACTCGGTTCCATCGTATAGGCGCGAACAACGCCGAGACTGGACGAAGCTCTATCACTTTCCCGGACGAGCATGCAGAGCAGAGAGGCAAAACGCTGCACTCTTTCCTGTTTCTCCACTCCCGCTTAGGGTGAAACGGAGTCAAGGGCTTGTTGCCGATGTCATCTTCAGAGTTACTGCTGTCCCGTGCTTAAAGGAGCGGTGCAACGATATTCAATTGGAATGTTTTTCACTTGACACTAGCTTACTGGCACACCTGGGACTCAAGGATACTCACACGCAACGCCACTGGCCAAGAAACTCCTTTGTTGCGGTGTAATTTCAAGGACAAAAGCGATCATTTTGATTCAATCTCTCCTTTGCAAAATTTGATGACGTAACGTGGGGATCGCAGTACACCCAAGTGACGATATTTGAATGCGGTTCATAGATTGGACCCGAGCATTGCTTGGGCACTCGACTTGGGCTCGTGATAATTGCTAGCTCGAGAAGCATTCGAGTAGTGACCCGTGTCCAATCGCTGCAACGACGACAACAGCCGAGCTATAACAATGTTTGGAACTCAGCGCGTGTCCTGCGCTTTGCCAACCCCAGCGCGTGGCTATGATCAACACTGGCGGCATATAATCGGCTCCAGATCACGTGGCCGCTTGTTCTGGCTGTGAGTTGAGGGGATGAACGCTGTTCGTTTTTCTTTAATTTTTTTTTTTTTCTGGGACTTCTATTGCGTGGGGTGAAAAAAGAACGCGTGTTTCATAGGTCATTAACGTTAGGGATCCATTTTAAACGGTATTTGCGCAAAGTACAAAAATTGTTGCATCGCCCCTTTAACCCGATTTCCTTCTTAAAGCTCGAGCGTATCGGGCTTGAAACGTTTCAGGGTGCACGGTTTCTGCAGTCGGTGACAGGTTAGGAGTGCGTGCGCTCCGCCTCCAGCTCGAGCTTTTTGTCTTTGGTAACACTTCGTCGCACGCGCAGAGCAAGGCCGGCGAAAGGCAACAAGCGCGTGCTGGAGGCGGAGCTTCCACTAAATGCTTAGCCTGTCACCGACTACTGGCGAGGAGATCGAACTACTGTTATGTTCAGCTTGTTTTTCCCAGAGCTCTGTGGTGTTTACCAATACAAGGCATGTGCACTGGAATTTGTACTTCATCTTTCTCGATTGAGCGCGGCGCGAAAATTCGGCACGACTCATGTAAAGTTTTTTTCTTGCACTCAGGCAAAAAAAAAGTACAAGAAAAAAATATATGAGTGCTGCAATAAACTACTTCGACAAATCCGTCACCGCGCGCGTTGCATTCCGGGAACCTGTGAGCAAGGATCCATGCTTCCCATGGATCCGCACAATGCACAACGTGGCATTACGCCACGACGATGCTTCCAGATTCGGAATAAGTCTATTGTTTACAAATGTCCCAATGTACGAGTGAAAAATCGCACTCCGGTCATTGTGGACTCGCCACTTCGGCGACCGAGATAATACTCGTGCACGAACCTGACAACCGGCGTACTCAATCTCGAACGCATACGCCATCGTCAATACCTTTGTCACACGACACCCTATCACAAAGCTAAAGTATGTCACGCAACAGACCGATTTCACTGAGCGTTCCACGCATGCGTGACACCGCCAGAACTGTAGTTTCTACGAGGCAGGCGCCAGACCCTGAGCGAGATTGTCGCGCGTGCAGAAAGACTGCAGTTCCTACGACGCAAGGCGGCAACGATGGCGTAATGAGACTGGCTGCGAGAACGGCCCGTTGCTTCACGGAGGATGCTTAACTTACTCCGACTGACTGGCGAAGTGAAGAAGGAACACACTAAATACTTCCTTAGCTGAATCGTTACTAACTTAATTATAAGTCATAACCCAATATTACGTTCTATGTAGATAGAAAACATGCTTTGATAAGTTAATGAGTTCCCTAAAGATCTGCGGCATCATCACTCAGGTGATGTGGCACAGCTGCTTTGCTCCTGCCATAATAGTTGGGACGGTATTTTGAATCAGGCGAGTAGCCCGTCGCAGAAAGACTAATGGACCGCACGAAGGAGGCCGCCGACGGGTTTAGAAATAGCGATTATAGAATGTCCGAATAATCAGGATGCTGCCAAGAGTGTCGATGGGCATGACTATTCGTTCCCAGGAAAGTATGGTTCGGAACGCTATCACTTCATCTGGAAGGAGTTTCTGCACTGCAGTCTGGTAGACCCATTCGGCGTGGTGCTCCGGAGAATATAGAATGAGTTAGAATCGAGCAAGTGACTCCGAATGTTTACCTGAATAAAGGAGAAGGTGGCTCAGTTTAAGTACTCGGTGCACACGTCCTCTCGTCGTCGTCGTCGGTTTTAGCACATTTATTAAGTTTGTGCTCTCGTTAGCGCTCACTTCGTTTCTGCCAAACGCGTTCCAGCAGAAGTATTTGTTACACTTCGTGGGGGGAAGGCAGCTTCGTTGAACCATGCACAAAAATTTAGGCCGGTGCTGTGACACAGGTAACAGCTATAAACGACACTGAAAAGCAAACACTTCAATCCAACAAATACCGTCACTTCTAGTATGATGCTAGTCTCGTTCACTTTACCTGCGCCAGCTGCACTCTGTGCACACAGCCGTATTCAATTGACGAGAGCAGCCTCTCTGAAAACACAACCGGAAGTGCATTTCCCTGCACTTTTCTGCACCGCGCTACACTTGTACCGTTGTAGGTAAATCAAATAAACCCAGTTTGAACGAAAAAGAAAACACACACACACATAGAAAACAACAAAAACATACTGTCGTCAATGTAAAACATGCAAATAAACCCCAGCCAAAAGAAAAGTGACAGGTGCAACTACGAAGCCCACATGAAAACAGATAGCACGACGCACGTATAGCACGTCACGTGGAAGCAACATCAAGACCCGAGACATTTGGACAAGTCCCGTCCGACTAAATGGTTCGCCTCCGATGCTACCGAACCGAACCACAGTATACAGTACGAAGGTCGCAAACACGCTAGACACACATTGACTTCATGCTCACCAGAAAAATGCATGCGGTTAAGAAAAACGCTTTCGCAAAAGTCTCAAAGAGCCGCTGAAACGACACATGTTTTAGCTACTAAAACGCACGTACCTTAAGCGAGCGTAATGCGATGAAAGACAGAAACGGCAATACGCCATGACCTAACGAATGATTACTTGACACCTGTAATTTTTGGGGATTGATTGTTTCTCTCTTTTGTGTCCGTATTTTTTTGCGCAAAACCATGTATCCAATTTTGAGGATTGAGTTCCTGACTTCCTTCCTGAGCTTGGAAGGAGCGCCACAAAGCGCTCGAGAACAACGTATGTTTGCTTCTTCCAGGTACTAAACCAGCTACGAAAGGTTACTATTGGTTTTAAGCTAATTGTTTTATAAAAAGATATATATTTTCTTGTTTTGTGAGATTGCTGCGGTTCAGGAGTTTTGGGCACGGAACGCGCGAGCAAACAATGAGCGGTGGCACGATCCCTCCCCCTTGGAAGCCTGTCATCGTCGCTCGTGAGTCCATGAAACGCGAACATATATGTTTTCATGACAGAAACCCTGATACCATGATTTCCAGAAAAGCTGAATGCTTGCTTTCTTTCAGAAACTAAAGCAAAAGGTTATCGCAGAATTCAGCGACTCTTTGAGTACTTTCAGAATGTCTCCCAAAGGCAGTCTCGCACATGCAGTCTTTGCCATGCTCCGTCCCGTCGCTCCAGATGTCTAAAGGCACCCCCGAGGAGATGCCGCGACCGTAGACGGCCTTCGAGGATATTCGAACCACGGTGAGAGGAGAGAAAGATGTCTGAACGTCGCCGCTTCGCCATGAAGCAAGTGGTGCGAAGGGTTACTCGCAGTTTTGGCCGACGCCGTGAGGTGGAGCAACATGTCCAGGGGTATCTTATTAGCCATCGGGGGTCCGAGACTCCGAGGAGAGCCCCTATAAAAAAAACCGTCCTTATTCGCGCACATGTTTACAAAGCCGCGCGACCGCACCTTCGCGATGGCCTCTAACCCGACGGCACCCCTGCCGGTAGATGCGCGAAGCCCGAGGAATCTTTTGCCACCTTAGCTGGCCCTGTTCACATACCTCTCTCTCACGGTGAATTTCGCTGGTAGATCAGGAGCAGGCTTCCAAAATTTGCGAGGGAGGCAAAAGTGCGCTCCGTGGGACCCGCTCGAAATCGACGAGCGGAAGATGAACTCGCATTTTTGGAGCTGCCCGCCGGAGACGGTGAGCCCTTCGAAATTCCCGCTGCTCGAACTTACAATACATTACAATAAAATAACTTTATTTTTCCATCAATTGAATAAAGGGAAAGGCCGGGAACAATCTACAAAACAGCTCGACGGGGGGTCCCCTACATTGGCTCACGAGTCACAAGCAGCAGCTCGATAAGCTGCTGTTTGCGTGCCAGCTTGAGAAGCCGACCAACATCTCACCCGACTGAGCTTTCCGACGACCAGTCATTAGTGCCACTGTTCAGCCGCGCAAACAACAAGCGACATAGGCCGGGTGAATTTCCGTTCCACGGTGCCCATGCCACGAATAGCGAGGAGGACGTCCACGTTCGCCACCATAACTTTCGGCCGCCACGGAGCGGCGGGGCAAGCATAATGATCGCTATCCGTGGAGCTCATATTGCTGTTAAGACTTTAATAAACACAAATAGGTAGGAAACCATCACTTTCACTTCATTGTCTAGTTTGTTCTTGCTTTATTGCACGAGAAAACGCCGGCGAAATGCAGCGTAGAAAGGTAAACAATCAGTTGTGACAAAATGAACACGCCTAAGCTTGCGTCTGCTTCTTTTGGATTTTCTGTCTTTCCCTTTCTTTTTCTTCCTCTCAGGATCAGTGATGTCACAGCTTCGATCCGCCACGCTCCAGTCCCGCCTCTGCGCCCCTGATCCACCGAGGTAAGAGCGTTCGAGCCGAGACACTCCCGAGTAAACAACCGACGCGTCCGAACAGATCCGACTCGACGGTTCGGTCGGTCCAGCGACCTCGCTGCGCATGCGCACCGTCGAGTGAAAGGAAATGACGTAGCGCGCTTCTTTCGACTTCCGGTTAGCTCCGTCAAATTCCAAGGATCAAGTTCGGCGGGGTTGGAAGCGCTCCACGGGGCGGACGCTGGCACAAATCCACGAGCGGAAGATGATGAACTTGAGCCGTATCTGCCAGCGGAAGATGCGCGCTCCAAACCAGCGAGCGAGCGGAATTCATCGCCATTTCTTTCACCGTGGATCAAACCCTCCGACGTCCGCCGGGGCCCCTTCCCCGGGGGAGGCCCCCCTTGCCAGGTCCATCCCGTCACCACTAAGAACGCACGGGGGACGCTAAGAATTTCGGGTGCAGGGTGCGTGGGGGGACGTCCCCGGGCGGCATGGCACGGACCTCTTGTACCAGACCGCCCTGGTGGCGAGGCTGTACTGCTGAACGCCGTACATGTGCAGGGAGATGAGCATGAGCAGGAGCACCGCGAACACGGCCCACTTGCGGAGGTCCCATTTCCGCAGGCTGTTCTGCAAGAAACCAGAGACGACGGGCAGGCGGTCAGCACGATCCTTCGCACACTTTCGAATGCACCGATAATGCCCAAGGTCGAGGTCAGACTGCAGATACATCGGACAAAAGACAATTCGCGGACACTGTCTGAGTCATGCTTCCCCCTTTATATCCCGACGCTGGTCATACAAACAAAATGTTTGCAGACATGGTCGAAGCATTTGAAGCAAACCCGCTTAATTCGAACTTGCTTGAGGCGTGTTCGCGGATATTTCTGTAATCATGTCTGCGGCGGACAACGTGTATTGTCTACGAAGTATGAGCAGTCTGACTGCGGCTTTATAAACACATTCAACTCAGAAGAAAAAACAATTTTAAGCGCATAATCAAGATGCGCGTAAAAACAACATCAACAACAAAACTTTCCGTAAAAAAAAAAAATAAATAAATAAATATATATATATATATATATATATATATATATATATATATATATATATATATATATATATATATATATATATATATATATATATATATTGCACAATATTTACGCCGTGAGACTCATTTCGACTTGAGAGCGCTTACGAAACAAGCTTCTCTTTCGAGGCATCGACCCCTAAATTAGAAGCACATTTCGAACTTCTCATGTGACCCTCGAGAAAAAAAAAAAATAATAATTGCTAGGCGGTTTTCCGAAGGCGCGGTCGTAGGCATCTCATGGTTGGAGCATACAGGCTGTTTCAGGAAACACTGGCAAAACTTCTAAAAAATATATACATTTTTCACACAGATAAAAAAAAGAACTGCACATTGCATGGATATAAGATTAGAACAATTCGCATTGATCACTGCTTAAGAAAGCTTTTTTTTTTTTTTTTTAGGGTGCGTATAGTGTTTAGAATAATTAAAGTATTCATCACTCTTACGTATTTACAATTCTAATTCGTAAAAATATAAACATATTTTAGAGAAATTTCTGGGCATCGAGGAGGAACAATAAGTAACTCATTAATAATAAGAATTTTTTCTTTTAAATATTTAAACCAGCGCTTAATTTTCTCCAGTCCCGAAAATGTACCCAACATCGGGGCGCAGGCGCTGAGTATCCGTTTCGTAGCACCAGCATCATCGCTCCGTGAGTCTCGCGCCTGTAGCACAAAGGATTACTTGTACGCACCACCAAGCTTCCCACGCACTCCCTATCTCCCTAAAATTTGCCGATTTAGTGGTTTCGGTGATGCCGAACAAGTTTTTTTAATTAGAAATATAGCTTTATTTTTACGGAACAAAAAGTTAATCAGGCAGAGTTAATTAAGAACTCCATTATCCGAAGCGCTATTATCATGTACCAAATTAAATTAGCCCTTCGGCAGTGACAAATGCTGCATCAAATAATTTTTCTTTGGTTCTCTGCGATGTTTATAGTCGCCCACACGATGAGACCGACAGGAAAGAGTTTCGGAAGTCCAGCGCCCAGCCCGTCCGTCCTACCTTCAATAGACCTACTGCTATATTACCCAAGCATCAAGGAGAATGCGGGGATCGGTGTTCCACGCGCCGCACGCGCTGGCTTCAGCAGTAGGAACTTTTCTAAAGCAAATACCTAAAACAAATGGCATCTTGCACGCGCGTTCGTCAACGCTTATTTTGGTTATCTACTTCGAATCTTTTGTAGGGGGAAGGCGTGCGCGTGTGGGCGCGTGGAACACTAATCCCTGCATTCTCCTTGATGCTTGGGTAATATAGCAAATGGTCTATACACCACTTGCACGTAACGTCAGTCCGCCCTTCTTTCTGGTGGCCAGAACAGAAGCGTCTCGTTAACGCAGCGGAAACTACTCTCTCCCGCGCCGTTTCCTCCATTACGTCTGACCAAGTGACAGCAGTGAAAGTTATCGTCTTGTGAACCTCAAACACGAGCTCAGCAGGCGCGGGCTCAGCTATGGACGCCAGTGATTGGCGACGATAGGGTTCGGTTAGGGTGCCTCGATGCGGCTTTGTTTAGGGTGACGACATCTGGCCATTTTGTTCCAAACGCTTTCGTTTCTTTTTATTTCTTTTTGTTCCAGAGTGCGCAAAAGCGGGTCACCCGGCACGAGCTCATGGCATTGACAGTGCTGCGGCGACATTTTGTTACGGGCTATTTATATTTTTCTCAAGTGCGCGTGCCTTTACAAAGAATGACATCACAGTAAACAGAAGGACATTGAGGCATCCTATTTGTGACGTCGTCACCATGATTATCGATTGCCAGCGACAATTTCGACAATGTGTGTAAAACAAAACCACGGCGGAAGCTTGAAGCCATTGCGCGTCCTTAAACCAAACACGGCCAAAGTTGGCAGTCCAACGTTACTTTTAGTTCTGTTAATAGGGACTTTTAGTAAACCGTTATACCGTGTTCCGCGTACCGCACTACCGGAGCCTTTGAAGCATGCTTTAAAACGCGCGCCCGAGCGATGCCGTAACGGTCTGCTAAAAGTCCCAAATGAAAGTAGAATTCATCAAGCTTAAGACGTCATAGTGAACGTTTGGCCAATCGCGGAAGGCCGACCACAACCATGCTTTTGGTCGCGCACATCACCAATAGCTTCCGCGGGAAACTTTAGGGCCATGTTTGAGGCAGACGCGAATTCACCGCATACGTACTGCGGACGTCTCACTCGGCGATTGTGCGTGGGGTGGGCTAACCTGCCCGCTCTGAGCCTTTTCCCGTCGGGACAGACATTCCGAGTCAGGGCCCCGGGAAAATGCGATTTCCCGCTCGTCGGTGGTTCGCTGGGCTGCTGACTCGTGCGTGACTTGGGAAGTGCGCGCTCTGCACATGTAGGCGATATCCGAGGGCACGGGGGAACCCGAAATGCGATGCGGTAACGGCGGAACGTGGAGTGCCGTCGAGACGAAGTAACGTGATGCATCTTCATCTTCGTCCCTAATGGGGAAAATGAAAGCTGTCCTCGACAGATCCGTTCTTTGGTTCGCGAGATATCTTCGGAAGTATTCATATATCTCATCTATCAGCGTTGAAACTCCTTCTTGATTAGTGAGAAGGCCGGGCAACGAAAAAAATTGAAAGACATTTTCAAATTTCTGCAGTGCGAAATTAGAGTGCAGCTTTTGAGGTATTTTGATTTTGCGATATCAAGTGCTTAAGAATTTTAGGAGAAATATCTATATGTTCAAATATAGTCCTCGTACTTCTGCGTGCATATTATAAATTATATATATCTATATACCTATAAATATCAATAAATTATTTATTTATTGTAACATTATTTATATAACGAAGAGGAAGAGGCTAGGGTACGGGGGACCTTCCCCTCCTCCTACTCCTCCGCCTCCCCTTTTCTTCCGCCTCCTCCACCCCTCCTCCTTCTCCATAACCTCCCCTCTTCTCACAGTCTCCCCGCTAAATTTAGCGGGGAAACTGACGTCACATCACTTCGTGTCACGTCACCTATGAACAAATTCGATTTTTCCGCTAGATTTAGCGGGAAAATTGACGTCACGTGACCTCAACATCAATTAATTTCCCCGCTAAATTTAGTGGGGAAACTGAATTGGTGTTGAGGTCATGAGACAACAGCTTTACCGCTAAATTTAGCGGGAAAACTGAATGCACAGTGTTGCATTATGGGATGTCACAGATTTACACACCAATTCAGTTTCTTCACTAAACTTAGGTGGGAACTGAATTGATGTATAGGTCTGGGACGTCCCATCATGCAACGCACGCGGTTACGCCGACGCCGCGAAACACGAGAACGAGCGCCTGAGCTGCCCTTTAAAAAAAGAGCATTTACACGTTTCTCTGTTCCACTGTTTGTCGTTTGCAACAACACCGACAGAAAGCCTGCACATTTTCCCAACACTTTGCCTTTCAACGTAAACACAGCAAGTTTGTCATGGTCTCAATACTCCGCAGTATCGTACAATTATAAAGCTGTCCTGATCCTCCTTTATAGTGAGGAAGCCTGGCAGATGGATCATCAAAAATGGGGGAGAGATAACGTAAAAATAAAAGAAATGTAGTTCGTGCAGTGGCCGCTGGCATCGCTAGCTTCCGGGGTGTTTCGGAATGCAATGAGAGCTTTTACAATATTTGCCGAAAAGAATGGCCACAGCAGTGGAATGGCACCAAGCTCCGAGACCCCAGTCGCTTTTCTTGTCTGACGTGCATTCCTTCTCCCCTTTTTACGGCACCGCACTATCAGAACTATCCTAGTATGGGGGAGGCAATGGCAGTAACTTACAAGGATCAACGCTCGTTTTTGAGCCAGATCTTCAGCATGAAATGTGCATAAATGAAATCGACAAAACATGATTTCTATTTTCCTGTTTCAAGCCGAAAGAAGCCACACACGCTTCTTGCATAATGAGGAGACGAGCGTCTCGGCTATTATTGAGCAGCTCATATGAAATATGAGCTGCTGAAATATGAGCCGGAATATGAGATGTTTAATGTATTTTGCCTGTCCATTCTTTCAGTTCTCGTTTGTTTCGCTTAAGTTGAGTGTTTTCGGTACGTAAAAGCAGATATTATTACAGATTGATACGCGCATGGAATACATGATGGGCTTCAGAAATAAAATCAGCTATATAAATCTTATAAAGTAATTTTGCCAGATCGTGTTTTCGATAGAACGCTACTGGTATCGGGAGCCCGCGCGCTGCCGCTTTGGCCGTGTTCGAAAGTTTTTTCGAACTCACTCTAGGGTAAAGGTTCTATACCCAGGCGCTCGAAAACCTACCCGCGTCCAGCGTTGCTCTGTCTCGTCACGTGACAGGATCCACTGGAGTAACTCGGATCCATTCGAGACAGGTTTGGAACACAGCCTTCGAGACACATATAAGGGAGGGGGTATTCCCTGGATACCATATCTGAGGGCACTGTTTAGAGCGCATGCTAAAACGAGCTCGAAATAATAGGCTGCTAAGAACGGCAATCGTGATTATGCAAAATGCATATTGCAAAAAAAAAAAAAAAAGAGTTTAAGGATGCTCACCATCAGCA